CGTCCTCATCCCATTTATATTACTGCATTTCAATAAATAGGAGTAAAGTTTTTGGTGTTTTGTTGTGTTTTCGAACTCGCTCTATATATTGCATACCACAATGAATAATGGTGAGTTGCTGTCCATGATAAGTTGACATCTTTTTTTGTGCATTTCAGCATATTTGATAGTTATATTCTTGGACTAATTTCCTTGTTTTATATACACAGTGTGCTCGTACAGTTGTTGGGGTTAAGCAATGCACAAGTTGAATCATTCCAATCAATTTTAAAGAAATGCAAGATTTCAGGTAGGTTTCACTGAATTTTTAATTGATTCTTGATGAATATTTTCAAAAATAAAATAATCATAGGCCTTTTTAGGATTTGATCAAGAAATTGGTTCCACATACAATGAAACCGTAGTATAAATTAAGTTCTTAAATGTGAATCCTCCTAATCCAACATTAAATTTCTTTGACTGGTCTTTTGGAAGATAAAATTTAAAACTTTTTTGAGCGTGATATTAGCGCAACATCTTAAATGCACTCTAGTAGGGTGTCTTAAATTGCTCATTTTTGGTGAATTTAGAGTACAAAGGTTGTTCAAGTGATACTTAATGTACAATATTGTGTACCTATTACACAAAGAAAAGGACCACTTTTTAGAAAATAATTATATAAAATCTCTTTTGGAGACATTACGCAGTAGAATGAAAACCTAAGTCTTCACAAAGAGCTCAAATGGAATCGGAACCCTCCCATCGACACAAAAAACGAAGGAAACGCACAAGCGGCAGGGGCAGATCCAGCCTTCTGTTAGGGGGTTCATCCCCCTTCGGTAGAAAATTTTACTATTTATACATGGTTAAAATTATTTTTTTAATATATATATATATATATATATAATAGATGTCGAACCACCTTCGGATAGTTCATGTATTTAGTTCTTCAAATATTGAAATCCCTTATTAAAAATCCTAACTCCGCCACTGAAAAGCGGTAATCCATTTTCTTCTACTTCTTCCGTTCAAGATTCAAACTTTAGATTCATCGTTTTGCGATCAGAGCTCACCAGCAAAATCCTCGTAAGGCTTCTGGTGAAGCCCCTCTTGCAATTCAGGTACGTTTCAAAAAGCTGGCTTATCTCAGCCCCTCTTGTGATTTGTTGAATTAGCCCTTTTCAACAATGAGGAGAATAAATGGAATGTCAAATCAAGAAATGTGTCTAGTGGAGAAAAATGAAATTGTATGCTTGTGATTCTTGGTTTTGGCTACAGGAGAAAATAACGATGGCCATATTTCAAAAGTGGGAGGTCATGAAAATTTCAAAGGGCAAAAAATTCATTCAAGTGAGAATAAATTAGGTGAAAAATATGAACATAAAAAAGTATTGGTTGTTGGATCTGGAAATTGCTTTTGATCTTTAAAATTATGGAAATCACATATCAATTGTTGTTGGAAGTTCAATAAGTCTCTCTATTTTGTCTTTACTTCTTTTTTATTGCATCAATGTAGGTTTGTATTTCTTGAATTTTGTAATTGATATAGATGATGTTCGGTCAGTTTAGTTGGTAGCTCAATTATTTTACTTGGTATATGTTACTTTTACTAGCACATGTAATAGTGTAATTTTGTTCATCAAGAGATTGGTGTTTCTTGACCGTCAACTTCAGACCATACTCTTAAGAGAAAAAGTTGGAATTGAAACGTGATTTTCATGTTATTTCGTTGATCACCTGATCATCTTATTTACTCTTATATGTGAATTATGGCTCTTGACATAATTTAATCATGATTTTCATTTTGCTTGATTGACAGTCAGGGCATTATTCTTAAATGAGAATTATTAAGTTTATTGAAGCTTTATTTCTAAATTTTTGATTGGATCTTGTTTTCTTCTTCTGATAAACACATGAAGTTGGACCAATATTAGAATAACTACCAAGAACAACCTATATCTTTATTAAGTGTGTTTATTTCTTTTAAATATTTCAGCCACTTAATCATATATATATATATATATTACTAAAAGTGGGAAGCTCCAAAGTGTAAAGTTGAATTACCATTTTATCCTTACACTAAATTATAATGTTATAAAAATATATTTAATTAATTAAATATTATCACATCATACTATTATTAAATTTATGTTACTTAATATCAGCATACTATTTAATGTGAACGAGTTTTTCACTTTCTGCAACCTCATTTTGTAAGACTGAAAGGGAATGTGAAAAGTATTAATAATCGTGGTTCAATACTTCAATTGTGGACCTCTTAAATGTAGGATATGCACTAGTATTTATTTATTTTCAATGATCTGTATATAACAAATAGTAGAAGAGGTATATGATTTCATGGACACGTATTAAATGGTAAATAATGGCTATACAAAGCTGTTGTTTGGAAGTTGGAAAGAGCATCGTATCATAGTTTAAGGCTTTTCGTCTCCAACAATAAAACTTTTGATTTTCTTTAGTTACCTAACTTTATTGATAATGAATGATCTTATCTAATCCATTAAATTATGCTCAATGATCAACTTATATAAATGAACTCATAAATCACGAATATGTACAACTCTCTCCATTAGGGGAAGCAGTAGAGGAAATATTTTAAAGAGTAAGTTCATTTTTCAGCTTTGTTATTTTCTATGAACGTGTTCGTAAAAATATATTATTCTTGTTTATATAATATTTTATGAGTTTTAAGTTTTATAAATTATCAATGTTTCTTATATTCATGTTTATGAGTTAAAATCAAACTGCTGTATGGACATAGAAGCGTTAGAGATTGACTTTTGGTCCTCTTATATGTCATGCCTTTACCATTAGCTTTGAGTCTTTGCTTAGCTTGAAGTTGTTTGGAACTTTAATTTTTGATACTTTAAATTTGCTGAATTTGGTAAAAAAAAAGTGGATAAATGAAAAGAATAGGTATTCATATATAATATTTCGATGATATATGTTTATTAATGTTTTCCTAATTATATAATTATAAGTGAATGAATGAAGCTACTCCTGTTGAAATCGGTAATCAAAACAACAAATGGAATACACATCAAGAACAATACTTATGAAAGAGTATCATGTAATATATGAATACATTAAATATTACTCAAAATATAATTTATTATACATTTTACCTACCTAGATAAACTTAGTTGTTGAATTTTGTAGTTTCAAATAATATTTAATCATCTAATATTGTTCAACGAAGAAGTCATTTGAATATAAGCTAATTATTCATCTATTTCAGTTTGTACTTTTTCACTTTATTCTATTATTCATTACAATGTATTTTATTAATGTTTTCCTAATTATATAATTATAAGTGAATGAATGAAGCTACTCCTGTTGAAATCGGTAATCAAAACAACAAATGGAATACACATCAAGAACAATACTTATGAAAGAGTATCATGTAATATATGAATACATTAAATATTACTCAAAATATAATTTATTATACATTTTACCTACCTAGATAAACTTAGTTGTTGAATTTTGTAGTTTCAAATAATATTTAATCATCTAATATTGTTCAACGAAGAAGTCATTTGAATATAAGCTAATTATTCATCTATTTCAGTTTGTACTTTTTCACTTTATTCTATTATTCATTACAATGAATTTTTAATATGATTTATTTTGTATGGACTACTTGTATGAGACACACATGCAACGCACGTGTCTAGGAGCTAGCAGCTTAATAAATCTAAATGATTAAGAATTGTTTTATCACTATTCCCGTCACCCATCATTAGCAACTATAATTGTCGCCACCCACCATCCACAACTACCATCTTCAGCCACTATTTATAATCATCATCACCACCAACCATCATTACCACAACAACCTGCAATTACTATTGACAACCATCACCATTAGTTACTACTATATATCGCCAATCATCGTCATCATTCACCTTAGCTACCATTATCATCCACCACAACTATTAGTCGCCTATAAAAATTATCAACATCATCCACATTTGTCAGCCACCATCACAATAGACTACTAACTTACTAATCAAATGTACGTTCAAATTCAAACGTCTTAATATTAATGAAAACAAATAAGACAATGTATATTTTAAAAAAGTAAAACTACTATTAAATTTCCTTTATCCCTTATCGCTTCATCTATGTTCCTATTTATAAGTCATAAGTCATAACTTCTCTCGATAATTTTAATCTCTCATGAAATCACAATGGATTTTTCTTTTTCATTGATTCCTGCAGATTGGATCAAAAACAATTCTTGAATTGGGCCGGGGATGAATCGAAAAAAAGATCCGAGAGTTTTATTTGTCCTAGTAGTTTCTTTCTTTAATCTATTCCTTGTCTAGAAAAAAGTTTGATTCGTTTCACCTCAAATAATTTGTACCAATTCTTCCTTTATCAAACAAAATCATCCCACTTTTAATCTGTTATTTAGTTTTAACGTCGTCCTATAAAACTTAGAATCCTAACTTAATTTATCTTTCTTCTTTTAGTACCAATTTATTTAAATTTACGAAGCTAAAACCTAAGATTGAAAACACTCACAATCTTCATTATTGAGGAAAAAGAATAACGGGAGGAAGATAGAACCACATAGAAGCAATCCAGTCCAATCAGGGATCGAAGGGCTATGGACGATAACGAATGCATCTCTTGGACAACAACTAACGAGTTAATCCGAACTTAATTTTTTCTTATATGGTCCTAAAACCTCTTAATTTTTTATGAGTATTCGATATGAGCTTGTAATTTTTAGAAGTATGTACCATGAATTCATTTTTAAGAAGTCTGGATTTGAAGTTTCATTTTTTAATTCATCTCTACTTATGAAGAGAAATTCGCAATTCTTGATTTTGAAGGAGAGGAGCGGAAAAGTTGATGGTTAGGTTAGTAGAGGAGTAAAAACGTCATGTCCAATTCAAAATATAAAAAGCGGAGTCAAACAATGATATAAAGAAAAAAAAAAGAGTTGAATTTAAATACTTAATAAAAATAAGTAAAAGGGAAATGAGACATGAAAAAAGAAGAAAAGAAACACGTAGCATGTGATTTCCCCGCCTCCAAAACAACTTCTTTTGTTACAACATTTATTCAAGTTATTACAATCCCTGAACGAATGAATGGAAAAAAAAGAAAGTGAAAATCTAAGCTAAGTAGGCTTTCTCAATCCCCGACAACTCTTCAACCCATCCCAACAATCATTGTTCGGATACCTCAATCAAAGTAAGGTCCATGTACAGCGTAAAAGACACACTCGACTACATACAAATAGTGAACATGTTGAGGAATAAAGATCATAGCAACCATATAATAACACAACCTAATTATCCATAGCAAAAAGGCCAGAGTTATCAAAATAGAAAGAATAAATACAAAATTAAACCACAACAGATTTAGAACTAGTCATAACCACAATATTTATATAATTGGAGCATGTATAAGTCGAAGAGAAAGTGTACCTGTTTGCTTTCACAGAATGTCTACTGCAAAATTAAAGATATACAAAGCTACCACATAGGTATCGAATGCATTGTTAAGAGAACTAACCAGTGATATGGCAAAAATGAGCCGAAGGTAAGAACTTTCAGTGTTCAGACTTATTGTAGAGATGAGGAGGAGAGCCCGAGAGATTTCTCATTCATTTTGAATAGACCGAAAGCTTGAGGGGATTTTTCCAGTGATCAGTCCACTGCCAAGTAGAGAGGAAAGGAGTTGTTTATATAGCATAGAAGTAGTAATCAATCAAGGAGAGTAAAATGCAAAAATAACTCACAACACTAATCTAGGAAATCTTTTTCTTAGACAACCGAATCAGATTTTCCAAAATATAAGACCAAGTACAAAGGGGATGCTCTATAAAACCAAGCCGGAATTTATTGTAAGAATAAAGAAAAACTTCCACAAGTTCGAACTTACCATAAGAGTTAACTCATCAAGATATCCATGGAGGAAACAAATAAGAGAGTATGAATTAACTGAGCATAAATGAAGCAGAAGAGGAGGAAAGCAAATTGATTTCGGCATTCATTCATAAATACAAGAGTACTAAAGATGTTCCAGTCTTAATTAAAGAGAGGAAATCAGTTAACAATGGAAAAGGAGGCAATTATTCAAGATGGTTGTAAATCTAACATGCCAACATCAAAGTTTACCTTAAACAATTGCAAAACCGAGGCAATATCAAGTCACCATATCTATCATAAATCAAGCTTAAGATAGGAAAGAAGCAGATTGCTACAATTACCGCATAGGTATACTGTCATGAGATCACATAAGGAGGGAAAGTATATTGTTCAACATCACTTGATTTGGGGATCGTAGCAAAATTACAGGGACTCGATACAGAGCATGTAAGTACAAAATCAATCTATCACGCATAATACTGAAAGCAAATTCCCTACTATTAGAAATCATAAACATACCTAAATCAGAAGCTAATACTAGAAGAATATTTTCAGAAATTCTAACAAAGAGTGGATTTGGAAAGACAATACCCGAATCAATTTCTAAGAAACTATCTGACAGTGCCTTTGTCTTCACCGGAGTTTTTCGGAACACATTAGAGAGGACAATGTGTTTCTGATTCACTGGTGGTGCTGGCAGGACAGTGAAGGTGGCAAGGGGAAGAGCGGAAGAGAAGGGGAAAGGGGAGAGAGGAGGGAGTGGTTCGCCGGTGGAGCATCGGCTGGGCTAGGGTTGCTCGACGGAGTTGGCTGGTGGAGCGGTGGTCAGAGGCGAGGTGTGGGCGGTGAGAGGCTGAGGTGCGGTGGTTTTGTGAGAAATTGGAATTGATTTAGGGATTTGGGGTTTTGGACATAATTAGAAAAGAAAATTGAAAAAATAAATGTGGGCATTGATCGAAAGTTGTGAGATCGATGGAAATTGGAATTTAAAATTGCACCACGTTGATCAATTAGATTAGAATACAAAATTGGATAGAAATGGATGGAATTTAAATAACTTTGGAGAAAAAATTCATGAATAGATTGTTATTAATTAATAAAATAAATATTATGGTAAACCTTATTAATAAATAATAATTTTTCATATAAAAGAAATACATTTAGCACTATTGGAAGTTCTTGAGTTTAACACATTAAATAGGGGAAGAGGACCTTTTGATCATTCATTTTCCTAAACTCTTAACCGTTACTGCGGAAGTGAAGACGGTTGATTGACCAAATAAGTAAAACCATGAGAAGATAGTCAGTCCTAAGGAAAAATATACATAGCTAGCTGGGATAGTAACTTCCCGATATCTAAGAAGGGAGTGTCCCTCTAGTATACCCTGACAGGTCAAAAATGTCTATGAGCTTCCATGTTCACACAAAATATTGACTTGGTGGGATTTTAGTACTTAAGCTAGAGGTGTTAGAAAAAGTTCTCAAGTTTCTCAACAGTAGCAGAAGAGACCCAAATTTACCATTGCTGAACAAGAAAACACCAAAAAGTTTTCACCTGGAAATTCTTGCGAGTAAGATTTGGCGGAGCTAGGCAGGACCATTTTTTGGCAGGTCAATATGTTGCATGTGGATCAGCATGAGTATATCTTGTGGCCCTTTCGTAAGTTTTCTTTTCTTTTGGTATTTATAGACTACGACTTTACGAGCCTGTTTAGATGAATTTATAACTTAAGTTGGGATTTCTAACTTATTTTTTGTTATTTTGACTTCAAAACAGGTGCTTAAAAGCACTGTTTTATTTTACCCAAACACTACAAAACTGCTTAAAAACACCTAAATAAGCCAATCAAAACAGGCTCTACGTATACAAGATTATTAAACTATCTGTGTTTGTTGATCTTCATTGTTTAATATGCGACTGAAGCTCCTGATCTTCATCGGTACTCTAGCAAGCTCGGTTGAGATAAATTAAATTGCACTGTAAATAGTTACTCATGTTGACAACAACAAAGACCAAGCAAGTCTTTACTTTAACTTGGCACTTGGATTAGCTGCTGTAAATAGCTGACAAATGAATAAGAAACTTTAGAAATAAATAAGTGCATTCAACTTGAAATAGAGATAAATTAACTGCATCACCAATCTAATAAAAAATAAACTTTCTCCCCCTCCCCCTTCCCCTCCTTCTTCCCCTTCCCCTTCGTAAGGGTCCTTATTGCAAGATCCTCACTTTTGAGTTGCAGCGGTTTACCTTTTCCATCGAAAGCTTTTATTTCTTTTAATTGACTATGCAAAGGTGTGCTTTTATGAGAAGTAGAATGACTTGAATTCTTCATATACATTAAACTATCAAAGAAACGTGTAATCGTTTTTATATTTGAGAGTAAGTTGAGTCTCCTAGGATGACAACTCCATAGCAAAACATCCACAAAAGTTGGGCACTCCATAGTCTGATCCAGACATAGAGATATAGTTAAAACGTCCACCCGAGGAGTAGACTCTATGTAGTCCATTTGCAAATCTGTCATGTTGATCTCACCGCAATTCGATAAATACAGGGAAACTTGAGACCAAGAGGATGAATTTGATAGGAACTTCCTCAACTTACAAAACCATGCAGCATTCAAATTGGACAAGCATTGAAGAGTGATTTCTGAGTGCTCCAATTGGGTTGACTCTCTTGCAATTTTAAGTTCAGGAATTTGATTCCCCACATAGTCAAGTGATACCAAATTCAGAGCATCAATCTCCCATGTACCGCCATGCTGATGAATCTTCAAGACCTTCAAGGAATCTGACTTAATCTTTCCAAGATTCCCCGAACAATGCTAGAGGATGAAAGAAACAATCAAGGGACAGCTATTAAGTAGAGTTTGAAGCATGTTTTTGCCTAATCTTACATGAGATAGAAAAACATTTCTCAAAGACTTGCAATTCACAACACCACTAGATAACGAAACATTTCCGCAGAAACAATTCTCTTAAAGATTTAGCTGCCAAGATTGTTGAAATAGGCACGGGGTATGTTGTATAGTTAAGGATAAGATCTTTTACACCATTCTAAAGTGCAATGTCAAGCCACTTATCAATCATACGGAAGAGTTTTTCAGAATCACCATCGAACTCTAGTAATTCAAACTTTTCTATAGAAATTTTTCCATCCCTATATCTCTCCATGGTTGTGTTTGCTATCTTTGCCCCGCCTTTGCAACAATGAACACTGAATTCAAAGTTGGGAAGAGTTGACCATGCGCTTGTAGCCATGTTTTGGAGAGAATGCTCATCTGCGTTGCTTCCTCAAAAGTAAGAAAATAGAGTATTCTTTGAATGAGACATTCAGGCAATATGTCAGTCATGGTCGTTATGAAGGATCAGATCAAAACCCTAATATTAATGAAACTTTATAGATTTAAAAAAAGAGCCCTACATATTAGGAATTCTATTTTTAAACGAATTCCTTAAAAAGGAAAAATAAAGCGCGTCTCTTTTCCTGTTACGCATTATATTGCTTCCCTATCAAGATTTTAAATTGTAAATTAATATATTTATGGTAGTTAGGTTAAAATCCTATTTGGACAGAGAAAAGGAAAGCCAAGCGTAGTCGGCAATTATTCTAAACCAATTCGGACAGGGAAATCAAATCTAAGCTTATAAAAGGAGTTGATATTGTCAATATTCAATATCAACATCCTCTGCATCTTTATTTTTAACAGTTGTGAAAATGGCTGGGAATATGAAGGTTTTGAATGCGCTTGATTCCGCAAAAACACAATGGTATCACTTCACAGCAATCATAATAACTGGTATGGGATTTTTTACTGATGCCTACGATCTCTTCTGCATATCTCTAGTCACTAAGTTGCTTGGACGTATTTACTACCATGTCGATGGCTCTTCAAAGCCTGGTTCACTACCTCCTAATGTTTCCGCTGCTATCAATGGTGTCGCCTTCTGTGGTACCATTGCGGGACAACTCTTCTTTGGATGGATTGGTGACAAAATAGGAAGGAAGAAAGTCTATGGCATAACCCTTATGATTATGTCTATCTGTTCCATTGCTTCTGGCCTTTCTTTTGGTAGGGATCCTAAGACCGTCATGGCCACCCTCTGCTTCTTTCGCTTCTGGCTTGGTTTTGGTTTTGGTGGCGATTACCCCCTTTCTGCTACTATTATGTCTGAATATGCCAACAAAAAGACTAGGGGTGCCTTCATTGCTGCTGTTTTCGCTATGCAAGGATTTGGTATCCTCGGAGGTGGTATCTTTGCCATCATTATCTCTGCTGTATTCCAGGCTTGTTTCAAGGCGCCAGCCTATCAAGTGGATCCCCTTGGTTCAACCGTTCCTCAAGCCACTGCAGATATGGAAAACGTTATGCAGGTTGACATTGGGACAGACCAAAAAGAGCCTGCTGTAAAGTCCGGCAATGAATTTGGTTTGTTCACGAAACAATTTCTTAGGCGACATGGTCTTCACTTGCTTGGCACAGCCAGCACATGGTTTCTTCTTGATATTGCATACTACAGCCAAAACTTGTTCCAAAAGGATATCTTCAGTGCCATTGGATGGATTCCTGCTGCCAAGACTATGAATGCAATTGAAGAGGTTCAAAAAATTGCACGAGCCCAAACTCTTATCGCTCTCTGCAGTACCGTGCCTGGATACTGGTTCACAGTATTCCTCATTGACAGGATTGGCAGGTTTACCATTCAATTGATTGGTTTCACAATGATGACAGTGTTCATGTTTGCTCTAGCCATTCCTTACCACCACTGGACTCTCCCTGGCCACCATATCGGGTTTGTGGTCCTCTATTCACTGACCTTCTTTTTTGCCAACTTTGGACCCAACGCCACTACATTTGTCGTGCCTGCTGAGATTTTCCCTGCTAGATTGCGGTCGACTTGCCATGGAATATCAGCTGCATGTGGAAAGTTAGGGGCAATGGTTGGTGCATTTGGATTCCTGTATTTGGCTCAACCACAAGACAAGACCAAGGCTGATGCAGGGTATCCTGCTGGAATTGGGGTGAGGAATTCACTCATTGTCCTTGGCGTAGTCAACCTTCTCGGATTATTTTTCACTTTCTTGGTTCCAGAATCGAAGGGGAAGTCACTTGAAGAGATGTCAAGGGAAAACGAAGACTCAACTGAGGAAGGAGCAGAAGTGGAGAATCATTCATCCGATAATAGGACAGTTCCTGTGTAAAAGCAGTTACTAGTTTCATCTCTTTCCATTCTATCCTTCATATGTTCTGCAAAGGTTCTATGAAGCTATTAGTGTAGACATTCTGTTTAATTGCAGCAACTAGAGTTCCATATGTTTTATGTTTTGTGTCATATATTGGATGCAGTATGTAAAAACTCTTCTCTTATTAACCTTTCTTCATTACTCCCTTATCTATAATATATACTGAAGAGTGATTATATTAAAAAATTAGCTTTAAATAATTTCAAGATCAGTAGATTCTCTGCATGAACAGTGATGAAACTAGTATTTTCGTCAAGTTAAAAGTACTTTTGGGAGCATTTGCAGTGAACCTCTCTTTGTGTCTGAATATGCCAAGATGATAAACACTAACTAAATACTTTTGAAATATACTCTACAGCAAGCAATCCATATGTGATAATAACTCTATTCCCTTATCTACTGTTCGGTATTGTAAGTTTATACATTAGATTGTTGATGTGTAACATTAATTAGGTAATAACATGATAACATTACAATATTCATCAAAACAATGTAGTACAATCAATACAATACGAAACATTATAAAACTACATGTAACAACCATTCAAACAAGCTAGCTTCAAACCTACGAACTAGGACTAGCATCGAACTAAGTGAGTCAAGTCTTAGCCTAATTGAGCCAAGCTCAACCAATCTTTGCCTAATTGCCTAATTTACTGTAATTGAGTTGCAGTACCAACTTGTGTTCTTTTTAACTCTTCTTCTGAATACCGATATGTTGTTATATATATATCACAAATTACAGTTGAAAATATACAGTAACAAGATAGTTGAAGCTTGTTCAATATTCTCAATGAACCCTTTGCCATAACTAGCAGATCGTTCTCATTTAGAAAAAATAAGTGTAGCATGTTTACTTAATCCATCCTCGTCTTCATGATTTTCTTCCCTATAACAATGTTCGACTGTTATGTTCCTTTGAACAACCTTAGGTATGATTTCTTCAATTTCTTTGGTTTCTCCATGGTGATTTAATAATTTCATTGATTATTTCAACCACTAAAAGAGAGTTCAATTCGACTTCTAAGACTTCAAATTGTTGATGAAGAACTTGTGGTGAGGTCAAGATATATGGTCTAAAGAGTGATTCTTAGAGAAATGTTGATGATTTCCAGGGTGGGGTGTTATTGAATGATTCGGGTAAGTTTGTGAAGGGGAAGCTTCATTGGACTACTACTGGTCGTCTTAGTGATTATGCATATATTTTTCCAAAGTAAGCTCCTACAAATAATATTGGACGTCCTTTGACTTTGAGAACGCGTTTAGGGAGGATGAAGATGAAAGACCAATAACTGTGAATGTATCGTAGGACAGAGTTCACCAGCATAGGATAGGTGCATGGTAACCCAGCACTTTCACCCTAGCTGTGAACTTGACAATTAGTACTTCACAATGTACTTCTGTTATGAACCAAGTTTAGCCTAATGTGGATACCAAGGTCACACAAGTAGTTATTGGGCTGAGAACGAGTAATAGGGCAAGGTTAATTTGGGATCCGGATTGAGTAGTGGGCATGAAACAGTTCCATCATAAAGATAGTGATGCGTGATTTAGGGATTATGCAAATTGTTGAGTAAAGAGTCTGATTCTCCCATCTTCATTCTTAGTCGAGCTTCTCATCCCCTTCTATCTATATCTGTATTTTCTGATCTTCTTCCTCCGATTAACCTTTTCAGTTTTGTTTTAAGCACTGTTAGTTGTTATTAGCTTGTTGTTTCCATTTCTCAAGTGTATTTTGTGTTGTCAGTTATTATAATACATATCATTGTTGTGTTGGTAACTTGAGTTGTTACAACTTCAGATTACTTAACTTACTACCTGTATTTTTTTTCATCTTCACTGTTTAGAATGTGACTGAAGCACATTTGAAATTTCTCAAATGTTTGGGAAGTGGAGCTCCCGCCTTTTTTGCTTAAACAAGGTCAGCAGTTTCTAATGAAAAATATGTTTGATACATGTTACATGGGGGCTAGCTGGTGTAAATAGTTGACAAATGAATTAATAAACTTAAGAAATGAATAAGTGCATTCAATTCGAAATAGAGACAAATTCACTGCATCACCAATCTAATAAAAAATGAACTTCCTCCTTCCCCTCCATTAAGGCCCTTTTTGCAAGCTCCCCACTTCTGAGTTGGGGCGACTTGATTTTTTCCATCAAAGGCATTTATTCCTTTTAATTGACTATGCCAAGGTGTGCTTCTATGAGAAGTAGAATGACTCGAATTTGTCAAAAACACTAAATGATTGATGAAATCTGTAACCGTTCCAATAACATCTGAGAATAGGTTGAGTCTCCTTGGATGACAACTCCATAGCAAAGCATCCACAAAAGTCTGATTCATCCATTGAACATTGACATTTAAAACATCCACCCGAGGGGTATAACCTATGTGGTCCATTTGCAAATCTGTCATGTTGATATCACCGCAATTGATAAAATAAAGAGAAACTTCAAACCAAGAGGATGAATTTGATCGAAACTTCCTCAACTTACAAAACCATGAAGCGTTTAAATTGTTGCATTCAAGAATGATTTTTGAGTGCTCCAATTGGGTTGACTCTCTTGCAATTTTAAGTTCAGGAATTTGACTCCCCAAATAGTCAAGTGATACCAAATTCGGAGCATCAATCTCCCATGTACTGCCATGTTGACGAATATTCAAGACCTTCAAGGAATCCGACTTAATCTTTCCAAGATTCCCCGAACAATGCTCAAGACTGAAAGAAACAATCAAAGGACAACTATTAAGTAGAGTCTGAAGCATGTTCTCGTCTAATCTAACATGAGATAGAATAACAAGGACAGTTACTTGAATGTGTAGTAGGACAGAGTTCACCAGCACTTTCACCATAGCTGTGAGTTTGTCAATTAGTACTTCACATCTATTTTGGATATCTTGTCAATTACAAGAGATCTTCATTTTCACACATAAGCTCGGAATAGCACGATAGCAAGCTCGATGTTCAGATCTACATTGCCAAAGCATTACTAATTTGGAACAGTTGCATATATACATGAGGTTTTATAAATTATTGTATCATTGTATAGTGCATTTAAGATTGTTGGATGAAGGATTTTTGCCCATGCTTGTCATTCTCTCTTGTGAGGGATTATGGGACTAAAACATAAATACATAATATCGAGGCTTTCCACTCTGTCCAAATATATACAGAGTATCAGCCAATGTTAGCAAAATCAAATTCAATGATTGCAAGAGAAGTACATATTCAGGATGATGAAAATCGAACGTTTTAACCTAATGATACAAGACTAAAAGGTTCTCTGCATTTGTTTGATGAAAAACAATGTGCAGCCTGATACAAGTACCTCTTTGTGATGCAAAAACTGGTATATATACTCTTAGTTCTGCAATTGAAAAATGAAATTGAAGAATGAAAACGCACTCGAAGTCCTTATGAGCATCTCAGGAGAGGGAAAACAGAGTTAATTAGTTCATAGAAAAATACACCATGCTATCAAAAATCGGCTTACAAAATCAACAAGTAGACAAATTTGTAGGCTTTTATTTTTTTTAATTGACTATGTCAAGGCGTGTTTCTATGAGAAGTAGAATGACTCAAATTCTTCATATACATCCATGAAACATGTAATCATTTTAACACTTCAGCATAGGTTGAGTCTCCTAAGATGATTTTTTTTTTTCAAAAGTATGTTTTAATAAGTGCTTCTGAAAATAATCTATTTTTTAGTAGCAATACCAAACACTCTAAATTTAACAAGCAAGTTTTGATTAATATCTTATGGTAATCAAAATATTTTTGCATAACTTAAATATTAAAGTTGTTCAATTGAAACTTTAAAAACTATTTTGAACTTAATACTAAAAAAATAAAGGACCTTTTTTTTGTCTCTATATCTAGCCCTCTTAAGTTTTTAATTTATATTCATAATTATAATTATTTATATTACTTTAAATTCAATTGGATCCTTAAAAATATTGATTGAATTTTTCATACTTCATTAAAAGACTTTATAATAGATAAACTAGTCATTAAGTACTATTCTTTAAGGTATTTAAGAATAACAATTTAATTAGTTTCAACAAAAATAGTCTTTATAATATTGATTGTTATTATTTAAGATACTTAAGAATAACAATTAAATTATTATCCTTTCAGTAGGTTGCTAATAACCAAAATTATATCAATAATTCCTTGAAGCTTGTCACTAGCAGCTTTCAATTGGGGTGATTCAGCAGGTGGATCTGAAAAATTGTCATCACACGTAGAAGGATCATCCAAAGCAGAAGAGGCATGAATATTCAAACCAGCATAGTCTTTAGATTTTAAAAAAGCAGGCAATCCTCTAAGATCATCAATGCCATCATTGTAATTCTCCAAACACGAACTATATCTTGTCTTTAATTTTGGATTTGTGGCCTGATTAAGTAATGTATTAACAAGATCATGTGCAGATTGCATGTTCTTTAGTGATATGTCTATTGAGATAGTCGCAAGGCCTTCAAGATTTGCACCTTTGGATCGAGAATCCCCTTTTAGAGCCGATAAACATATAGCGGGTTTTTGTGTTTTTGAACAAACATCGTTTATCAGATCAGCTCTCACGCTTGTTAACATGAAGGTGAGAGAAACTATCAAAAACAAGATAGAGATATATGAATGTGCCATTTCGTATGATCAAATATTTTTATTTCATAACTTGTGTTGTGTTATGGATTTTATATAGCCATGTTTTCCAATTAAGAAAGCTATGGAATTAAAGGGTTTAGGATTTTATGAAAAGAAAATTAAGTAAGAATCTACTCGTATTTAATGTCAAAAGATTTTGCTTCAAATTGATATTTCGATTCAATTAATAGAAGATTTCAGTCTATTTATATACCTTTGAAAAACTAAATTAAGTTATATTTCATGTTGGACAAGATTTTAATTACAGTAAATAATAGGACTATATTTTTGGTAGAAAAAAATAATTAGGACCTTGAAATCAAAAGTATTCCTTTAATTGTGGTAATTACATTCTATATTGAATAAATTATAGTGGCAAA